TGATATGGTATGTATAACTGTTGTTGTGTGTTTTAACCAGGTTGTTTTTTGGGAAAAAGCACCTTAGCTTTCCCCCTACAAAACAACTTATAAAGAGGGGAGGTGTTACATACAGCACTGATGTTACCTGTCTGTCATGGGTTTGGAGGGAAATTTCCATCCTATGGGGAGTGGAAGGCGGGACATCAGGAGGAGGGGCTGTACTGTATATATATGTGAAGCCTGTGTGGTGAAGTGAGGAGACGCTGGGATGTGAAGAAACAGACAAGAAGCAGCAGCTGGGAAGAAGAAGCTGGTGTGGGAGTCTGTGTGTCAGACAGGGTACTACTGTGTGTCAGAGTACCAACCTGATAGGTTCAGGTGTCTGTATGGTTAGCCAGAACTGATAGGTTCAGGGTCTGTGCTTCAAGTTAAGGGTTCTGTGTGAACCAAACTGTGTGTATGTATGAGTGAAACTAAGCCACGTTACTAAATCTTATTCACCTGATCATTTTATTTTCCCTGTGTGTTGTATTTAATAAACCTTATTCTTTTATTTGTTGAAAATCCATCCCTGGTCTGTGTGACTTCTTAAAGGGAATGGTTGGTGGCAGCTTAGTGAAACTGTGGCATATCCCAGTAGGTCTGGGTTTGTCACACCTGTTACTACAGGCCACACTTCCTCATACAATACCCGGGGGAGGGTAGGAGCACCACACAGGTCCCTTCGCAAAGGGTGGGTAACTAGACACTAAGGGCAGGGCAGCAGGGAGGGGGCCACACAGAAGTTCTACAAAGTTTGACCCATCTAGTTGCCTAGATCACCCAACAGTTCAGCAGTCTGGCTCAGGAGGAGAGAGCAGAGGCCAAACACAGGAAGACCAGGGGCCAGCTTAGGTACCAGGAATACTGCGGTGGGCAGCTCACAAATGGAGGACAGCCCAACTGGAATTTGTGAGGTGTGGGATGCTGTGCAGGCAACTTCAGTAGGCTCTGCCCCATACTTCAAGGATGATGAGGACCCACCTGGCATTCATCTGTCCTGCAAAGTATGGCATGACTGGAGGACTACTATGTGGACATTTTCCCCTCCTCAAACCAGAAGGGGAGGAAGGCCATGTGATGAACTTGTTTATGAAAGTTAAATAGTGATTTACTTTATAGGTACAAAGTTACTCTGGAAAAATCCTTTTGATTTCTGGTTGTGAGTTAGAGAGGTAAAATTTCCAAGGACGGTTACTTTTGCAGTTTGCAAACTCTGTGCAAACTCTGTGCAGCTCAAGGTGACCTTTATCTTGTAACCAAGCAACTATCTTAGCCCAGAAGGAGCAAGGACATAACTTTTTATTTAAGATTTATGGGAAGGAGAAGAAAAGAGGATTCCAACATGAGAGGAGAGGAGGTTTTCCAGCACGGAGAGAGTTAGAAGATGGACGTCAGAAGAACTTTATTCTTGGAAAGGACAGCAAGACTGACTTCTACCTAATAGAATCTACAGTTTTGTTTGAAAATGTAGTTTTACTGGAATTGGAGAGAAGGTTAGCCTTCCTCTAATTATAATAGTTAGTGGTTTGTTATTTGAGTTTTTAATAGAGGAATTCTGTCTTTTGGTGATGGCTGGGGTTGGAAATAATTGATTATGGAAATATGTCTTTTTCTGCTTTCTTAAACACATTTCTTTCTATTCTTTATATTTTTCTAATAAAATTATAAAAATGCTAAATGTCTGGAAGTTGGCTTCTTGGATAGACCATAAGCTACAATAGTCAATTGGCTTATTTAGATTGATGTGCTCAATACAGCCACATTTACTTAATGCTACCATTTGGGTCCTACATATTAAAGAGTTCTAGGAAGATTATATTCCCTAGAACTCCTGTAAGTGCTTTTGTTCTTTCTTAAATCGGGTCAGACTTGGGCGAAAGAGTGTTCAGCTGCCCTAGGGTAAAATTAATGGACCTGGTTTTGCCTGGTAAAGGAGCTGATCATTCTGGACCCTCTCTGTCTCGTGTAAAAGCAGTTTCTTAGGAAACCTGGCTTTTAGGACAAAAGAGGTTTTGGAAGCAATAGAACACAGTACTTTACTGCAGAGTGGAGCCAGAGCGAGGATCATTAGTAGTTCATTACAAATACCAAAGGAGTTCCATATGAGGAGTGCAGTTACAAGATTCGCAGAGGAAGATGTCTAAAGGAGCTGATCATTCTGGACCCTCTCGGTCTCGTGTAAAAGCAGTTTCTTAGGAAACCTGGCTTTTAGGACAGGCCATACTAGGGCTAAGGACAAGGCAGGCATGAAACCCAGGAGGGAGATGGACAAAACATTCAACAACTGGCTAGATGGCTGCATGGAGTTCATGGGTGTTGTACAGACTATGTACCCTGAAAGAGCCTGGCACGCTAATAACCAATATTGAAATGTTCTAAGGCCCAGGAAGTTGGCAGGGGATGGGGGTACTATAGCATATGATGAGGCCTTCAGACTGAGAGCTTCCAAAAAGTGCTACAGCATGTTGGGACCTCATCAACAACACCTTGTGACTAGCTGGGCTGCATATTAAAGGGAAAAGTGAAGGAGCTAAAGTCTTGCATTGGGGGTGCAGGAAGCATTCCAAATGCATTTATTGGGAATACAATGCTGGGAAATGTGCACACCCTTGATGTAAATATGATCATGACTGCGACAGCTGTTTCAGCCCACATCAACTCTTGGTATGACCTGGCATCACCTCCCTCAGTTGCCCTCTAGGCCCCCCTCCAAAACTCCATCCATTAGGAGGGAGGTGCCAGGGGAGCAGGGCTACCTCCCATGGCAGGAGAGTGGCAGTAAGGAACCAAGCACCAGTGCAGGCATTTTTAAGCTGCTACTACCCCCATTAAGCCATCTGTGCTATGTCCACTTCTATTGGCATATCCAGACAGGAAACTGCTCTTTACCTTTGGGAGGGGTTCATATAATGTGGTCTTATTTCCTTGAGAGGTGGATATAGAAGGGAGCTAGAGATTGTAGGAGGATGGACATTGCCCAGCAGAAAGTGACCAGGGAGGTGGTTTAATTGTTTTGGCCTGGGGAGGAAGCTGGATCAAGCACGCAGACATCTCACATACAGTAAATTGGACACTTTATTCCATCCAGATGGCGAGCACTCATCAAATCAGGGTCACAAAGTGCAGTTGCACAATGTCACAAAGACCTTAAGGGGTTTATTGCAGCAGCAGTTGTCTAGCAGGTTTTGGGCATTGGGATGGATCACAATGATCATGGGACAGCGGGCAGGGGCCTGCAGGTCATGGATGGTATGGAATCCCTAAACGGGAACTGGGAGGTGGGGCTCAGCTGTCCCAGCTTGGGTAGAACAGCTACTCCTGCCCGTGGCATACGTCTGTGTAGCTCCATGAAATCTTCCATTCCAAGTGGTCTCACAGGAAGAGTCTTGTGAAGATGATGGGTAAAATCAGGTGGCATTCAGCCCACCCGCCCCCTTGAGCGAGATCCAACCCAATGCTTGCCAGATTATCTGCTGCTGTAATTAATAAAGACGTGGGCCTTTCTACTCCAGTTATGGTGTGCGTCTGCTGTTTTGGGAAGGGGGCCAGGGCCTGCTTAGCAATAGGCCAATAATTTTTTTCCTGTATCTTGAATCCATTACTTCCGCGCCTATGCTCTTGAACTGCAAAAAACAAGCTTGCCCTCTTCACTGCTTTCTAGAGATGGGCAGGAGGCAGAGAAGCCCTTTTACCTCTTTGCCATTCCTGTGCTGCTTCTCCCTTGAATGGAAAGAAAACACTCCTGCTGCAATGTGGGATTTGCAAGGATTCCCTGTGACTTCTAAAGGTGTGCCCACCACTTATAATTGGTGGGTTCCAATGGAGGCAGCTTCCTCACAGAACCCATCCTCTCATGCACCTTTGTGAGTTGCAGGGAATTCTTATAACTCCCACATTGTAGAGGAGCACTTTTCTTTCTAATTGACTGAGAAACATCATGGCAACAACCAAAGAGGTGAGAAGGCTGCTCTACCTCTTCCCAGTTTGAGGATCTTCACTCCCATAATTCATCCTGGAGGAGAGGGTTCACCAACTTATGGGAGTGGGAGACCTTAAAATGTGGAAGTCTTATCCCTAATGTTTACAACTTCTGTTGCTCTTTCCTGCTGCCCTCCATGTGTTACTGTTAAAACATTTGAAATAGGAACACTAGTCTGATTGTGTTGGCTCCCTTCAGGGTTCTCAACCATGTGGAGGGTATACGTATATTGGCAGCCTTCCTACTTCAGATTTCATGGCTTCAATACAGGGGAGGGTAATGGGACCAGCTGGGAACACCATGAGAGAAAGGACAATACCAAGAACTGTAGTCCCATACTTAACTATAGGTGGTGGAATATGAATATGCTTTCAGATTCAGAGTCTGAGGATAAACAGTGATAATCTGTAGTCATAATCAAGCATATGCATCTCTTTCTTTTCTGGTCCCATAGTGTTTAAAATCTTGGGGGTAAAAGATTGCCACAATACAGTTGATCCCATTACCAGATTAAAAACTTTTAAAAACAATCCATTCAATCTATGTGTAAGACAATGCTCACTGCACACAAAATATGACTTGTTTCTTGTAGAGACTGTTGAAGAATAGAAAACATAAAAATAAGGGAAAGGGAAAAGTGGGCAGTTGCATCAATCAGCATTATGCAAACCATGGACTGATTTAAAGACTATATCAAATCATACCTAAATTTAAACTAAGAACCAACTTGGCCTTTTTCAGTTCCAGGGTGATGTAGTCTCCTTGCAGGCCTTCTCCATGGAAAATTACACCTTCGCTTTCAGAGGTTTTAAATTTCAGTGCGATGACATCTTTCAGTGTTCTCATTGTTTTCTTCTTGTGTGCAAATCTATATGCCAGCACACCCTGGCCATCAAAACTGATAATATCGGCCCCTAAAAGGAAACATAAATAAAATGGTTGCCAAGCAAATATGAATTGTTGGGGTCATCTCTAACAAAGTTACATATATTTCAAGTATGTAATAAATGTAATATGAACTCTGGAAACACTTTTGTCCTGGTTATAATTTAATAGAAGAATGCAAAATAAAACTGTTTCAAATGCAGACCTCTCTCTATGTAGCTGAAGAAAGATAATGAAAGTTTCCCATGAGTTGAAATCTCCTACCTCAAGCTGATTTCAAAAGCTTATAGCCTCAATTTTTTTTTAAAAAAAAATATTTTAAATGAAAATGCCTGGCCTCAAATCTGGCAAGGGAGACCCTTCTCTTTTACCTCTTCCCAAACTCTGCAGTGCCAACCTGATGAAAATTCCTGCAGGACTTGAAAACTAGTCTTTTTTTAGATTTTAGTGGTATAATCATCTATTACCTATCTATCTCTGTTTCTGGATTTTGCAGAAGGACCACATGGCCCCCTTTTGTTGGACTGTGAAAGATACAGCAGAGTATCTACAGTCAGAACAATGTGATTGATCATCACTCAAGAAAGACTGCACTGAACTGAAGAGGAACATATCTTCTTCTAGTCACTAGATAATATTCATAATTTGGCTGCAATTTTACTCTATCTTTGCTTTGTGGGTAAAGTAAATTTTATTTCCAGTGTTTCTGACATGCCGATTGTCATGTTTCTGTGTGCCTCTTTTTCCAGCAAAACAAAAGTTATTTTCTTTGATATAAGGGAGATATGAACACTGCTGACTGATTGGCAATTATTTACCTACACCATAGATTCTAAAGAGGAGAAGAAAGGCAGTGAATTTTATATTCCTAAATTTAATCTTCTAATCTGAGTCTGAAAATCTGCAGGCTCCATTTTGGAATGTTCTGTCTAAACAAGAGAGCCTTGGTTTCAACATCTGCCCAAGATAAATTTGTGGACTTCTGTTTCTCTCTCTCTTTCTCTCTCTTTCTCCACAAGCTCTACAATACCCCAGTGAAGAAATTTACAAGATTCAAAAGCTAGCCTGTTTTTGAAACTGCAGAGGTCTATAAAAAAGGAATTATGCTGTTCAACATGATACCTAACACTATTCCCAGTCTGTTCCCCTTGCTCTGACTTTTCAGTCCACTAGCATTGGTTCCATAACACCACTTGAAACAAGGTTGGGAGTGTAGCACCAACATTTGCAACTCATGCACCTTCTTGTTCCAAAAACCCTGGCAACAGGAGTATAGCACCTGGGAAGTAAATTCTTTCCCCATTGGCCAGCTGTGAGCATCTCACAAGCTCTAGCAGGAACAGAGCACCTGAAGAAACACCCCATGTATTATTACATGTGCTGCAGAGAAGACTGTATTGGATGAACTCCATCTGCAGATGCCTAGAGGGACTTTGAAATGCCACCCATAGAATAATTGAATTGGAATGGGCATCTGAGTCCAATCCCCTGCTCAATGCAGGAATCCAGGTCAAAGATCTGACAGATGGTTGACTGATTTTGTCTTGAATGCCTCCAGCATTGGAGCACTCACCACCTCCCAAAGTAATTGATTACATTGTCACACTGCTCTAACAGATGTGAAGTTTTTTCTGATATTCAACCAAAATCTGGCTTCCTGTGACTTGAGCCCATTGTTTCATACCCTGCACTCTGGGATGATTAAGAATACAGTAGATCTTGCCCCTTCCTCTGTATGACTATGTTTTATTTTATTTGAAAAGTGCTTTCATATCTCCACTCAGTCTTCTTTTCCCAAGGTTAAACGTAACCAATTCATAGAATCATAGAAAAATGAAGTTGGAAAGGGCCTGCCTATACTGCAATTCCACTTCCCCTTCTATTCTTTCTGGTTGGTTGGTTTGTGTGTTTTTTTAACAATTTATGTCCTTCAATTGCTGTATTCCAATCATGGGAGTCATCCCACCAAATTTCAGTTATTCCTATAAGGTCATATTTATCCTCCTGAACTATTTATTTATTTTATTTATTCAGCTTTTACCCCTCCTATCTAGATTCTAATCGAATCTACTCTGGGCGGCTTATAGTTCGAGCAATATAAAACAAGAATTAAAACAGGCAATATCAAACAAAATGAGAGATAAGCAAAAGATTTCCTAAGTTCTTTTTGTTTGTTTCCCATACTTCTGGCATTCGTGTATAGATACTGAAGATTGTGTCATTGGTAGCCTGCTTTACTTTGTACATTTTAATGAATATCCTTATTAATGTTAATATCATTATTTATCTCCATTAGAACTGCTCAGTCCATTCCTCTTATTGTGTGCAAGGCTTCATCTATCTTTGCCTCTACGCTTGTATTTCCCTTGCCCTTCCAGTTTACTTTAAAGCCCTCCTGGTGAAGCTCTTCATGCTGTGGCCAAACACATTCTTCCCAGTCCTTGTGGGGTGGAAGCCATCTCTTGCTAGCAGTCTATCTTCTAGGAAGCATGATCCCAAAAATCAAATCCCTCATGTCGACACCACCTTCATAGCCAGTCATTCAACCAGAGTATTTCCCTTTCCCTTTCTATTCCTCTTCGGTAGGAATGGATGAGAAAACTATCAGGCCCCCAAGATTTTTAAGTTTCCTTCAGAGAGCTTTGAAGTCTAATGTGATCTTTGCAAAGATGCTCTTAGCTGTGTTGTTTGTTCCCACATGGATCAGCAGAAAGGGATATGTATCTGTGGGTTTTATGAGTGCTGACAATCCTTCTGCCACATCCCTAAGCTGTGCTCCAGGGAGACAGCATACCTGGCAGGTCCATGGATCTTCCTGAATACTTCAGTTTCCATCCCACACAGTAGGGAGTCTCCTATTATAACTACTCTTGTCATCTTCTTTTTATAAGGAGGGGGTTCAATTCCTCTGCTTGGGTGACTTTCAGTTCCTACATAAGAACATAAGAAGAGCCCTGCTGGATCAGGCCAAGGGCCCATCTAGTCCAGCTACCTGTATCTCACAGTGGCCCCAACAGATGTCTCTGGGAGCATATGAGAAAACTAGATACCTGTCTCCTGATACCACTCCCCTGCATGTGGCATTTTGCACTCCTGCGAGATCTTCTCTTGGATTTTGTCTGCTTGTTGCTTGCCAGATTCCTCATCAAGAAGCTGAAAACAGTTTCGCAGTTCCACTGGTGAAGATAGTCTTCTCCTTCTTTTGCTCCTAACTGTGCCTCTTTTCCATGGTGCTTCCTCCACAGTGTTTGATCTCTTCTTGGCATTCTCCTCTTCTGCCTTCCCTTGTTGCTCTTGTACCTCCAGTTCTTTCAGTCTTTCCTCATAAGGCTTGGTTTCCAATCCCCTGATGATTCTTATTGCCTTCCTTTGAACTTCTTTCAGTTTGTTGGCATCCTTCTTCAAGTGTGGTATCCAGAACTGGACAAAGTACACCACATGAGGCCTAACCAGTGCTGAATAGAGGGGAACCTTACAGAATTTGGAGACTATACTTATGTTAGTCTAAAATAGCAGCCAAATCACACTGTTGGTTCACATTCAGCTTTTGATCTACCACAATTCCAAAATCCTTCACACATGTAGTGTTACTGAGCCAACTATCCCCACTCTTGCAAATGTGGAGAACCTTGCACTTACGTTTGTTAAAATTCATTCTGTTGTTTTCATCCCATTGCTTAAGCCTATCAAGATCTTTTTGAATCTGTTTACCTGTCTTCCAAGGTATTAGCTACAGTAGTCTACCCAATTTTGTGTCATGTGCAAATTCGGTAAGTATTCCCGACACTCCCTCATCCAGGTCATTAATAAAAATGTTGAAGAGCACAGGGCCCAGGAGAGATCCTTGGGATACCCCACTTGTTACCTTTTCCCACTTTGAGAAGGAGTGATTGATAAGCTCTATCTGAGTACAATTCTGTAACCAACTGTGTATCCACCTGACAATTGTTCTATCCAGCCCACTGCTTGTTAGCTAGTTAATCAGAATATGTGGGGCACTTTATCAAAAGCTTTGCTGAAGTCAAGATATATTACATCTACAGCACTGTCTACCAGGGAGGTTATCTGATCAGAAAATGAGATAAAATTAGTCTGGCAGGATTTGTTCATGCCGTATCTATGTTGGCTTCTAGTTATTACTGCATTGTTTTCTAAGTGCTTGCACAATGACCACTTTATGATCTGTTCCAGAATTTTCCCTGGGATTGATGTCAAGTTGACCAGTTTGTAGTTCCCCAGTTCCTCCTTTTTGCCTTTTTTGAAGATTGGGATAATGTTAGCTCTCCTACAATCATCTGGTACTTCATCCATTCTTAATGCGATGACCCTGCAGAGATGTTATCCTCCTTGAACAGTAGAGGAAATATACTTAGTATAGTCATACTCTAAATGTGGGACAATATTGCAGAGGCTAGATCTGTCTTCAATCAAAATATCTTCTCCCTATCTGAAGAATGTGCTAATCATATGGTATGTCTGAACTGTTGGATAGCTCAGTGATTTAGGTATCTGACTAAAGGTTGGGAATTCAATTTCCCACTATGCCTCCTTGACAGGGGCTGGACTTGATGATTCATAGAGGATTTTTTAAATTTCTAGTACAGTGCAGTACAGTTTATTGCTGCAGTCTTTAGACCAATCCATAGGGTCTCTTCCAGCTCTGTAGTTCTAAAATGATGATAATGATAATGATATCATTTACACATTTATTGTATTGCACTGTGATGCAACTTTAATTGCCATGATTTAGTACTGTAGTTGTGGGAATGCACTAGACCATTCTAACAGATGATTCTATGTACCTCAATTAATTAGAAATTTCAAGATTCCATGTGATGTAACATCTTTGTTAATTAAAAGTGGTGTCAGATTTCTATAGTTGTGTAATGTTACTCTGTATTCTCTTGAACGCTTCTGAATAGATGCTGAGTCTTGCTCCTGGAGCAGGGGTGGCAAAAGTGTAGTGCATGGGCTGCTTGTTAGCCTCCTGAAACCCTGGGACACCGTCCTGCAACTTTGAAACCAACTA